TTGTGATGGTGTCCCGGTCTTGTTGTGATGGTGTCCCGGTCATGTTTTGATGGTGTCCCGGTCGTGTTGTGACGGTGTCCCGGTCCTGTTTTGATGGTGTCCCTGTCCTGTTGTGATGGTGTCCTGATCATGTTTTGGCGGTGTGCCGGTTATGTTTTGATGGTGTCCGGGTCATGTGACGGTGTCCCGGTCATGTTGTGATGGTGTCCTGGTCATCTTGTGATGGTTTTCCCGTCATGTCATGTTGGTGTCCCGGTCACCTTGTGATGGTGTCCCGGTCATGTTGTGATTGTGTCCCAGTCATGTTGTGACGGTGTCCCGGTCATGTTTTGATGGTGTCCCGATCATGTGATGGTGGCGCGGTCATGTTGTGATGGTGTCCCGATCATGTTTTGATTGTGTCCCAGTCATGTTGTGATGGTGTCCCGGTCCTGTTTTGATGGTGTCCCGGTCATGTTTTGATGGTGTCCCGGTCATGTTGTGATGGTGTCCCGGTCATGTTTTGATGGTGTTCCGGTCGTGTTGTGACGGTGTCCCGGTCATGTTTTGATGGTGTCCCGGTCCTGTTGATGGTGTCCTGGTCATGCTTTGGCGGTGTGCCGGTTATGTTTTGATGGTGTCCGGGTCATGTGACGGTGTCCCGGTCATGTTGTGATGGTGTCCTGGTCATCTTGTGATATCTTGTGATGGTTTTCCCGTCATGTCATGTTGGTGTCCCGGTCACCTTGTGATGGTGTCCCGGTCATGTTGTGATTGTGTCCCAGTCATGTTGTGACGGTGTCCCGGTCATGTTTTGATGGTGTCGCGGTCATGTTTTGATTGTGTCCCGATCATGTTTTGATTGTGTGCCGGTCGTGTTTTGATAGTGTGCCGGTCATGTTATGATGGTGTCCCGGTCATGTGATGGTGTCCCGGTCATGTTGTGACGGTGTCCCGGTCATGTTGTGACGGTGTCCCGGTCATGTTGTGATGGTATCCCCGTTATGTCATGCTGGTGTCCCGGTCACCTTGTGATGGTGTGCCGTTTATGTTGTGATGGTGTCCCAATCATGTTGTGATGGTGTTTCGGTCTTGTTTTGATGGTGCCCTGGTCATTTTATGATAGTATCCCGATATATTATGATGGTGTCTCCGTTATATTATGTTGGTGTTTCGGTTACCTTGTGATGGTGTCCCGGTTATGTTGTGATGGTGTTCTAATTATGTTGTGATGGTGTCTTGGTTATGTTTTGATGGTGCCCTGGTTGTTTTGTGATGATGTCTCGGTTATATGATGATGGTGTCCAAGGAAGAAATGGTCCATGTGTTGAAAACAGGAATTGTTTCTAGATTGTTTTGTTTGTGCCGGTTTGTATCTTGCTATTGGGGTCTCCAGTTGGGCTAATTTGGTTTACTCACCAAAGAGTCTTCTAGGATTTTTTCCCGAATGCGTAGCGAAGGGTTCTCGTTTAACTCTGGGGGTCTGGGGGTAGAGCCTTGTTCGCGACCCGTTGTTCGCAACCGTCCGCAACCGTTCGCAACCGTTCGCAACCGTCCGCAACCGTTCGCAGGTGTTCGCAGTAGAGCGCTAAGGCGCTGCCATTGGGGGAAGCTTTTGCAAGTGACTTTTCATGGATGTGTCACGTGTCAGTTTGCGACGCTATTCCATTGTGATTTGCATGAAAATGACATGTCGCGCAAGAAGCGTGATGCATTTCGCTGCACGGGCGCAGCGTTTTGTGAGATCCGCAGTTTGCTACGCAGTTCCATTGGGATTAGCGTTTAGAGAGTCATGTTTTTGGGGTGTTGGATGTGGCCGTGCCATTGGGATTTGCGTTTCAGGGTGTGGCGTCGAAGCTCTGTTTTCTTGACCAGTCTCAGCTGAAATGGCGATTTTGGTGGATGGCAGTGTGCTCAGAACGGGTCGAAATCATTCCAGACGTGTGGTGCGGTGCAAATTTTGTTGAAGCTGACATGAGATGATATCGCCACTTTTCGTGGCAGGCGCAGTACTTTGTGTGGGTTTTGAGGCGTGGAAGTGCGATTCTCGTGGCAGGCGCAGGGAATGGTGAGGTTGCGAGGTGTGACGGAGGTGACATTTCGTGGCAGGCGCAGTACTTTGTGCGCGTTAGACGTGTGGATGCGGAAAGATTCGTGGCAGGCGCAGGGAATTGTGAGGTCGTGAGTTGTGGTAGAGGTGAATGTCGCTGTCACAGTGGGATTGGCGTGTGAACGGGTGTTGTTTGGAGGGGCTGGACTCGCGAAACTGCTTGGCAGGGCTGCGTGATGTGTGTGTGTGCTCCGATGGGTGTTTCTGCTTGACTTTTGGAGGAAGTCTCGTACGATATGCTCGTTTTGCAGACTTTGACATGGGAATTTTGGAGGAAGTCTCGTAAGAAACGCTCGTTTTGGAGACTTGACACGTGACTTTTGGAGGAAGTCTCGTACTAAACGCTCGTTCTGGAGACTTGACGCGTGACTTTTGGAGGAAGTCTCGTACGAAGAGTGCCCTACAAGAGTGTCCTACAAGAGTATCCCACAAGAGTTTCCTACAAGGGTGTCCCGCAAGAGTGTCCCACAAGAGTGCCCCACAAGAGCGTCCTACAAGAGTGTCCCACAAGAGTGTCCCGTATGAGTGTCCCGCATGAGTGTCCCACAAGAGTGTCTCACAAGTGTGTCGCGCAAGAGTGTCCGACAAGAGTGTCCCATAAGAGTGACCCACAAGAGTGTCCTACAAGAGTGTCCCGTAAGAGTGTCCCACAAGAGTGTCCTACAAGAGTGTCCCACAAGAGTGTCCTACAAGAGTGTCCCGTAAGAGTGCCCCACAAGAGTGTCCCACAAGAGTGTCCCGCAACCGTGTGCCACAAGAGTGTCTCACAAGAGTGTCCCTCAGGTCCCTTAAGAGTGTCCTACAAGAGTGTCCTATAAGAGTGTCCCACAAGAGTGTCCCACAAGAGTGCCCCACAAGAGTTTCCTACAAGAGTGTCCGAGTGTCCCACAAGAGTGCCCTACAAGAGTGTCCCACAAGAGTGTCCTACAAGAGTGTCCCACAAGAGTGTCCTACAAGAGTACCCCGCAAGAGTTTCCTACAAGAGTGTCCCACAAGAGTGTCTCGCAAGAGTGTCCCGTATGAGTGTCCCACAAGAGTGTCCCACAAGAGTGTCCCGCAACAGTGTCCCACAAGAGTGTCTCACAAGAGTGTC